TTGTTCTTTGATATATAATAAGCCTTCTTCTCCAATTCATATTTATACAATTATATCTTAGGAGTTATAAACAAACCTCCTCAAAATAATATATTTCATCGTATTTCCAACAATTTTCAATCGTAGCAATTTGATATATTTAATACACCCACATTAACATAATTCATAAAAACAAGCAAATGCTTTGCACACATGTAAATTTATTATATGCAAACGAACAGAGTACTAAGCATTATATAACAACATGACGACATCAAATATAATCACCAGTGTTATTCACTAGTGTTATTACACTGTAAAATTTAATTTGATGCAACCCCATTAGATATTGTTAAACACTTCTTTAAATACAACATTCTGAGTCTCGTCAATGGTTTCTTTATCTTTATCACATATTAAAATTTTCAAACCACGCCGATTGGTCACTCTTGAGACTGCAACGTACAACTGTCTGTTAGTAAATACAGGGTTTTTCAACAACCCTACGCGGGACAAAGATTGATCTTGACTTTTATTTATTGTCATTGCATATGAAGTCATTATAGGATATCGTCGTCTCTGAAATTTGAACAGCAAGGTAGCATCGGAGGGTGTCAATGACAACCTTGGAATTAACACTTGTTGTTCAATATACATGAATATATTTTTTGTTCGCTCTCTCTTTCTTAATATGTATATTAATTTGATTACAGACATTTTTTCATTCTTTTTATTTGGGGCTTGTATTCAATATATTTGATCTTGCAATTTGTATTGATTTTAATTCATAGATCTATTATTTCAACTTTGAGTTGTGTACTTGTGTTTTTTGGTTATTTCAATCACCCACTAATGCACGACAATAAATTACTTCATGCACGATCATCTTATTGGTATGCACCTGGGGGGAATTAATTAACCTCACACACTGATAATTGTTTGGTGCACTAACACTTATTATTCAATGCATTATCTTGTTTTTAAATTTGCATCCGATACGAAATTTCAAGATTTGCACTCGGAGAGTTGTATTCTACACTTTCTATGTTTATTATTTGACATGTTAGTGCCACTTAACTAACATATGATTGCACTAACTAAGACTAACGAATGTACTACAATGTAATTTTTAAGCTAACTATATGATTATGTAACAATTGTAATTTTATTTGGTTATCATGCAGATGATATGCATGGAAAATATGGAACTGAGTATGGAGGTCTACCATCATGGGATGCTAATTGTGTGTCATAAAAATGAAACAAGTGCACTGTATATTGTAAAGAAATGTGAATGTAAATTTGTATAAGGTCATCGATCAATTACAGTCAATTTCATTTTATAAAAAGTGTCAATTTAAAATTATAGAGTGTATACATAAAAGTGCAAAAAGTGCAATGTAAAAATGCACATCATAAAAGTGCATTTCGCTTTGCAAAAAGTGTCATGTAAAACTTTAGAAAGTATGACACAATAGTGCAAATTTGCATATGTTAAAATGCACATGACAATTGTTAGTTAAAAACCTTGTATATTTAGTTTCATTTTATTTAAGTCATTTTTATTTAAAACTTGTATGTATGGAAGTGCAAAGCGTAATATAATGATATAGATAGTGTAAGCTAATGGCATCAACATGCATATCAAATTCCAAACACTTAATTAAATTTAAGTGCATGGTGTTTTGAATAAAAGTGCAGCTCTCCAATGATGGAGTGAAAATTGACAAACTTAGGTAGATATCATTGACAGAATACTAAATTTGAAAAAATGGTTAAACATGAAAATTATCATAAAGCACAATTTGAATGATGATTTTATTTCAAATTACTAACCCGATAATTATGTGAGAAATTGATAAATTTGGAACAAAAATTAAATGAAAAGATGTATTTATCAAACATAAGTGCACCTATTCAACTTTGGAGTGCAGATGCATTTGAGAAGAAAATTGATGAAATTTAAAAAATAATGCATAATTAGAATAAAGAGTTATCTCAATTTATTTAATGGAATTTTATGTCTTAATATCAACGAAATCTTGGAAAGAAACTTAAAAAGAGAGTATTTATTAGAATAAACTTGAGGTAGCTACGTATTATTAATTATTACCTAATTTGTAGGATATCTTCCTATTTTGATGATTCATACGTGATAATTACTAGGTTGGATTTTACAATTGTGTCCCTTTGTAAATATTTAGTTGTACCATTTCCATATTTACAACCAAAATGGTCCGAGGATCATGCACCATCAACTTCTTTTTCAAAAATTCCTAGGCCGTTAGATTGAAAGATTTGAAGGTTAGATATATATATATATATATATATATATATATATATATATATATATATATATATATATAGGGGTTAGTTCCTGTGAGAACACTCTCTTAGGAGAGTAAAAAAGAACAAAATCTAGCCTTCCATTAACTTGATCTAATGGCTCAACATTTTTTGAAATAGAGACCAATTTCGGATCATTAGACTTACATATAGGAAACCGTTCAATTGAAAATTAAAAAAGGGGCAACATGGTAAAAATCATCCAAGTAATTATTAAGCACGCAGCACTATAATAGGAGCACATCCTAGAAATTAGGCTACTAATTAATGAGTAACGTACTCCCTCTTATCTAAGATATACTTTCTATTGTTTAATTTTCTTTCCATATTAAATTTTGTATTATCTCATATATTTTTTTAATAAAAATTTTGATAAAAATCTCTATCCAAATTGTGCACTTTCTTCGTTTAATCGTCTTTTCAGAGGTAATATTTCACTCATTTAGTTTTGTATATTTGCACTTAAACGTTTAATAGTTGCACTTTTATTTGAAACATTTTGCGTCATCAATTTATTTAAATATTTAGAAGCTTGAATTTTGCAACTTAAAGGAAAATTACATGTTTATTACGTTAATTTACACAATTGTAAACCACACTTTAATGTCATTAATTTGCACTTTCTATAACATTAACTTTTTAAACATTTAATTCTACCCATTTGATCATACAAGTCCGGGATAAAATTCATTAAAATTAATAATATAAATATACAAGGTTGTAAACAATAACTATAACGTGCATTTAGAATAATACCAATGTGCACTATTATATTACACTTTCTAAACCTCTTCATTGGCACTCTTTTACAAAATAAAATGCACTTCTATCATGTGCATTTAGGTATCTAGAAATGTGCACTTTTCTAATATTTTACATTGACATTTTTACTAAATGAAATGCGCTTTTCTTCCGAAAGCACCACAATTTTCATTATGGTAGGATCTCTTGGTGTCACTTTTATCTGCAAAACAAAGTACAATAAAAACTAATGAATAGTGCATGAATAAAATTTGACAAGTGCATTAAAAGTTAGATACAAATTTATCATTATTATCTTATTAGCAATTAATAAATAACTATTACGAAATTGTTCGACATTAAACATGTTAAATGCATCATATGACAATGTAAATGCACTAATAAACTACTAGTGAAATCTATCAATCTATAAAATACGTTAATACAAACACATATATCTAAAGATATGCAGCAATAATATGAAAAAGTGCTTTTATAAAAAAATATATGAAAAAGTGCAAAAGAAATACATATAGTTGCATCAAATTTATCAATCAACAGTTAAATCAAGTGCTTTTATAAAAAAATATGAAAAAGTGCAAAACAAATACATATAGTTGCATCAAATTTATCAATCAACAGTTAAATCTTTATGAAACTGCCAAATACATAACCGACATAGCATAAATGGTTTATTTCACGATAAATGGTAATCCGTATTTTTTATCATAAGAAATTACACGAGATTGTCATATGAAAAATTGACAAATGACACCTGAAACGAAACTATTAATTAAAATGGATTGAAGAATAAACCTGAAATTATTAATTAAAATGGATTGAGGAATAACTCAATCATGTAGATGACATATAGTTGTTTGATTAAATAATTATGAAAAATTAAAGTGAGAACTATGAAAACCAAACACGCATACCAGGATCAATGTGGAGAAAATTAGATTTTTAAAAAACTGGGTTGCTCGATAATGATTGTAGTGAATGGAGATGGAGAATGAAATTGATGGTGGAATGCTGATAGATTAATCGAAGTTGAAGAATGAAACAAGGTATGGCAAGGAAAAACATAATGGAAGAAATATTATCTCTTCCTAAATTAAAGGGTGTCGGTTATGGAAAGGGCTAAGAATTACTGTATTAGCCTTATACGAATTATTTAATTAATTAGAATAATGGTTCAATCCAAGGGTCATCATCTATTCTTTTTTACTCTCCTAAGATTAAGTTCTCACATGAATCTAAATATATATATATATATATATATATATATATATATATATATATATTGTCGGGATGTCGGGATTTTCCCGATCCCGACTTTTTTTTAAAAAAAATCCCGGTCCCGTCCCGACTTAGTCGGGATCGGGATTGTCGGGATCGGGATTATCGGGACCGGGATTGTCGGGATCGGGAGTCGGGAGTTTTTTCCAGCCCTATTCAAAATTATATTGTGAAAGGTATTGGACACTATCGCACACGCGCAACGCTCTTTGAAAAACTAATGGTCTTATAAAAGTGATACAGAATATTATTTTCACTTTTAGGCTTAGTTTTGAAAATTTCCCATTATCATTTGGTAAAAATAATAAAAATACCCCAAACTTTGATGGTGTGTGAAGTAAATACCATAAACTTGCATATGTAATTTGAATACTCCAAATTTTAAATAAAATTTTATTTTCCCACGATTTTCATGTATTATTTCTTTCAAAAATGTAAATTTATGTGGTGAATTGCATAATTTAAAATTGAAAATTAAAATTGTTGCAATTATATAGATTGGAGTTAACTTTATTTATTTTGCAATTAAATTTTATTTATAATATTAATTATGTCTTCATAAATTCTAAAATATTTTAAATCTGGGATATTTTAAAATATGGGTTATTTTAATTTCTTTTCCCTTATTCTTTTCCCTCATTATCTGGGTGCCAAAGCATGTTGTGGTGTGGCATCATCGGCCTATGCTCCTATAAAGCGGATCGACTATTTCAAACATCGCAACCCTAAAATAAAGTCCCTTCTATAATGGCTGCATTAGAGGGAGGTTCGTTGGAGTCCAGAGTTTCCACACCGGTGGATCCTCCGCCCCAGATGAATCCGAAGACAGCAACAGACGGAGGATCTGACAGTGTCTCCAACAAAGAATCAGATGTACTCTGCGTAGCAGGAAGAAAATTCCGCAAAACCTGCTTCAAAGATAAGGAATTTCAACGACAGTACCTGCTCTTCGAAGACCAATTCGTCCGGAGCGAGGTAAACCCTAACGAATCTATGTGCTTAAGTGTCATTGGAAATCGATGATAAACGGGTTTTTGTTCATCCAGCACTATGGAGATAAAATGCTAAGTCGTTAAATGGTTGCTGGGTCGGTAGCTACTAGGTTTAAGGCCAGTAAGCGGTTAGGGTTCGTTAATCCAATAATAAATACATATCACATGCTTCAAATCTCTGTCTCATAATATTAGTAATATGTGTGTAAAACTAGAACAATTAAGATGTCATAGAAAAGGTTAATTGGGACTAGAGAATGTTGATAAATCATTTTGTAAATGTTTTTCTGCCATCGAGTTTCTTTATGATGCCATGAATTATTCAACGCACTAGTAATACCTTATTAGAGCTGTCAGCCTGTCAAACGGGCCAGCTTGGCCGACCCAACCCGACCCGTAACATGTTTGCTTTATGTGGGATGGGTTGGGCCCACCCGTTTAAAGACAGGTCGAGCCAACCCGTTTAAAGACATGTTGGGCCAACCCGTTTAAAGACGGCTCAAAATTTCCAGTACCCTAACCAACCCACCTAATCCGTGAGTTAAACGGGCTGGCTCCGTGCCACTTTAAAAAAATATGCATGACAAAAGATTCTTTAAAAATAATTGTCTTGGAGTATATACTTATTTATATACTATCTAATACCCAAACCTTTAATACCCAGTACTAATCATTGTTAAACTCTCTTTCTGAATGATGTGTTTAGGGTTTTGAAATAGACTGGGATAAATTTGACTACTTGTTCAGTTGTCTTGATGTGGCTTGGTCGGCACCTCTCGCTGAAGACATGACCAATGAGGAGTTGGTCCACAGCCTGACACTCCATGCCATTAAAATGCACAATGAAGAGAATGTGAGTGATTTATATTCTATTCATTATTTGTAATTCATAATTCATAATATCAATAGTTTTCCATTGAACATTTATGTTTTTCATCTGTCCTTGAAAATTCTCAAAGGGGAATTCTTGAAAACAGAAACCTTTTATTGATACACACAAAACGTTCGCACATGTATATATTTATATAGTTATTGATAAATGAGCTCCGAGCTCAAAGAGCTGCACAAATCATACTAAATACTACTTACAATAATATCTAACTCAAAAGGAAAGAGAGCAGTCGGTATACAATAACGTGTATGGTATGCAATCAAATGAATAATTCCAATAATTGTAGCAAATTCTCACGCAATCAGCTGGTCTGATGCAGTGAAGTTAATAGCGGTGCCATAGTGCGCTATAGCGGTTTAGTGGAGTGGCAGACTGGCCTGGCGCTACAAGATGTCCTCTAGTGTTGCGTTTGGGTGAAGCGGGAATGGCGGCCGCAATAGCGGTCACGCTATTTTGTAAAAGGTGGACGCTATAGCGGCGCTTCTATGTCCTGAAACGTTTTCTGTGTATAAGTTATTTAGGGATGAGGTTGAAGGGTAAATTGGTCTTTTAATATCAAATATTAACAACTGTAAATCCTTCTACATGTACGCAGACCAAAACCTTACTAACAGCCCCATCTTTTGAATACTCCATCATTCTGTTTCCTATGGGAAGCGATGACTTCTCTTCCAATGACGACAACCTTTTCATTAGTTTCACCTTCTCAACTTTGTTTTTGGTTGCTGCATTTTGAGACATGCCTCAGCTCTATTACTTTTTTGTATTACTACTCTTTCAAGGTCTCGTTCACTACTCTTTCATATAATTGTATATTTGTATTACTTTTTTGGACAATTAATTGATGAAATAGTGTATTGTTCTTACTGCTTCAGATTGACTGCTCTTCGCTAGTTTCCACTTCCTCTTTCCAGAATCGCTGCTTCATCTTTTACACTCTTAAACTAGAACCTTGTTTTTTTATTCAAGATGCTTTAATCATTAATAACATCTTATGTTTTGGTCATGAAACTAAAGACTTAAAAGAGTACCTCTAAGTAATTTAGGATATATGAATGTTAAGACTTAAGATGTTTGAGAGCTTCATTGGCATATATCATACTTTTTGAATATGAAATGTCTATGTAGTGTATTATATATGCTTCCAGTAATTAGTAATTACTTATGTATTATATTTGAAAGTAGCCTAAATAGCGGTCATCCCACTATCCGCTATACCACTATTGCGTTTTTTGGGCTCAGCCGCTCTGCTCCGCTATCTGTGATTGACAACACTGGTCTGATGTACACAAAGGGAAATTCATCACCCCTCAAGATGGTGTATTAAGATCACAAATGCCCATTTTCCTGACAAGTCATTGAAATTGGTGTGACACTAAATTCATGTGTGCCTCAAAATAAAATCAATACTGACACTAACACATTAACACGTAGTATAGTGTAGTAAGGTTCATATCCGCATGGAAATGAATACATCTCTTTTATGAGCTTGTAATCAAAGTAGTTTTTTCAAGATTGTTTGACTTGTAGGTAATTAAACACTTAGATGAATGACTTTTGTCATTTTAAATAATGAGATAAAAGACTTGGTTTTGCTACTTTCCACGTGTTGAGATGTAACTCGAAGGCCCCTAGCGCTTCAAGTGCGCCTTTTGACTTTGACTACCTTGGGTGCATCACTCGGTCTTTTACGCACATGTCCAAATCACCGCAAACGAGACTATTGCATCTTATGTTCTATAGGTGCTACTCCCATCCTAAAGGTTATCATAGAGTTAAGCTACATAAATGTGGTGAACGTGGATCAAACGCGTGACCTTTAATAACACACTGTAAAAACTAATTAAATGTCAAAACATATACTCTCAAAACCCAATGCAATCAGCAGCACATCAGCCACATGTGCCTTAGTGGGAACCTTTTGCGGCTCCACCTCGTCAGATGCAATATTTTCCCAAACAAAGTATCAATCCATCTCTATGTGCTTTGTGCCTTCATGAGAAACATGGTTGTTAGTGATACTGTTATAGAGCAGAAAAAATAAATCGGGTGAACCATTGCCCAGAATAATCAACGGCAGGATCCGTTGCCCAAGCTACTTTAGCTAATGAATCTGATTTTTTTAATCATCCTTGAAAAACGCTGCTTAGGGTATACATAATACCCTGTACAACCAAGTTCTAATAGGATACTAAGTAAACTAAAAAATTGATCACAGCCTTATGTTCCAGCGGAAACAAGACCTGCGCACCAAATCTGGCTTGCGCCCCAAGTCTTAAAGCAGAGTCCTAATGTAATACAAAGAATTACTAAATGAAATAACATAAATGAATCTAATTAAAATTAATATCTCAGCCCATGGATAACCCAGCCCATAACCGGCCCACGGAAGTGGGACCAAACCCGTTCCTGCCCAATACTCTTCCCGCTCTCTATCAGATACGTGAAACAACTTGGTTGTCACAATATTGGGCAATAGCACATTGTTGACCTTCTTCCACTTTGCTGAAATTCCTAAAACAACTGTTTGTTTTTTGTCCGTCTTGAGATAAGTGCACCTCCAAGTGATACATAGTGACCTGCTCGAGAGGGTCTTGTCATTATGCAACCTCTCCAATTTGCATCACAATAAGTTGTAAGTTGCTTCTCTTGGACTGTTTTAGTCTCAGACCAGACTTCTATAGTTATAAAAACATACTAGACCAGGCCAACAAATTACAGTCCAAAGTAAAAACATCCTAAATCCATGCCCACTCCAGCATTCTTCTCCATCAGGGAGGCACATGTTGAGCATTTCTTCCTATATGTCATGACAAATTTTCTTTCACCAAGTTTAATTCCCTGTTCAAATCTCGCAACTTCAATGTCTAAAAATTATTTGAGAGATCCTAAGTCTTTTATAGTAAAGTTATGGTGAAGAGTTTTTTTGACCGATTTAATCTTCTATACATGATTTCTACCAAGAATCACATTAACAATGTAAATGAGTGCCACACCGAATTTCTCACCTTGTTTAAACCTAATTAGTGAGTGATAACATTTGGACCTGCGGAAACCTACTTGAAACACTACACACGTGAAATTGTGGTACCAATTGGGCGAAACTTGCTTTAAGCCATACAATGACTTTCTTAACTTGCTACTCTCAAATCTGATATTTTTGCAAAATCCTTGTGGTACTTGCATATACGAAAAATGCATTATTGACATCAAACTGATGTAATAATCAATTGCTTTTGCATACACTAGGTGCCCCTAAAATTTTTATATGATTGTTTGAGGGGTTCTAGTTGAAAATTATTTCATAGGGCATTTTTAGCCAATTACCTCTATAGGGAACTTGTTAAATATATACTTCCTCCATCCCATAGAAAGGTTCTCACTTTTCTTTTTTGGACGTCCCAATTATAGGTTCCCATTTCCATTTTAGGAAATAATTTACAATGATAAATGATAAATTAATCATTAAATATTAAAAATAATATATTTAGAACATCATAGTTATCAACACTAACCCCATTATATTATATACCTATTAAAATCATGGTAGATTCTATGGTACCCATAAGGTACCATACCTTTGTCCACATGGACCAATGAGAATGTAGAAGTTGAATTATTTAAATCTAAATTAAAAATGATAAAGTGATGTGGTCCAATCAAATGAATGATAGGTACGGCACCCCGTTTTTTAAAAAGGTACTGTAGTTGTCACCTAAAATCATTTCTCAAAATATACTCGAACTATTTTATTTAATTACTGTCTAAATGACCATGCCATTTTTCCATGAGAACCTTTCAACGGGACGGAAGAAATAAGATGCAGTCAAATCGCACTCTCTATTAAAATGCAAAGGTAGATCCTGTTGAAATCTCAAGGATAGAGCCAACTGGAGTAGGTGTCTGTGATTCCTTTCAACCATCCCATTTTGTTGTTGTGTATTAATCTTTGTTTTTATGAGGTTGCGAAATGTTATCAAATGATGTGGAATTTCTGATTTATTCCTTATCAAGAAAGCCCATTGTGTAAAAAGGCAGCTACAAGAGGGGTTTTGAGGTGTGCCTCAATGTGAGGTTCACACCTCAGAAGTTGAGGCAATTTTTCTTTGGTTCTCTGTTTTTAATGTGCAGCAACTTAAAAAAGGCCAAGGGTATTTCATTTACCAAAAAGCCCAGAGTACTTTTGAAATAGAAGTCCATGTATCAAACATGTGGCCACACTAAACCCTAAAAGTCTTATTTCATTTAAACCCCAACAAGTCTTTAATTCATTGAAATCCAAAGTCCCTAATGTGGCCACACTAAACCCTAAAAGTCTTATTTCATATAAACCCCAACAAGTCTTTTATTCATTATAAAACCCAAGTCCCTAACATATAATTTCTATTCATCTTTAAAGTTACCTATCTATTATATTTGAAAGTAGTCTAAATAAATAGTGGTCATCCCGCTATCCGCTATACCGCTAGAGCGTTTTTTGGGCTCGCCGCTACGCTCAGCTATCCGGGATTGACAACACTGGTCTGTACATGTATATATTTATATAATGATAGACAGAAAACTTTCTGTACATGTATGTATTTATATATGAGCAACGAGCTCAAAGAGTTGCATAAATCATGCTAAATACAATAATACCCAAGTAACCGAGCTCAAAAAGGAAAGAACTCAGCTGGCTTGCAATGATGTCTTTGGTACGCAATTAACAGAACAATTCCAATAATTGCGGCAAATCCTCACACAATCAGCTGGTCCTATGTACATGAAAACAAGGAAATTCATCAGCCTTATCCTCAAATTTTGTTTTAAAATAATTTCAGGGAGCCAATGTGGAGTTTGTTAAGCATGTGAAAGCTAATTTCTGGTGTTGTGCTGGTCATTGCTTTTGGATTACATTTTTTGCAAGGGATTTGTCATCAAATTCAGACCCAAAACTTTACCAAACTAAGGTGTGGAGATTTATGGGTAAGATTGAGGTTTGTATATTCAGGGAAAGGCCCACAGACGAAGGTATGTGACTTTTGTTGCATCAATCCGTTTGCACTTTCATTTCTAATGAATTGCTGTCTCGTCCAGCATTTCTTATTAACTCTAAATCTTGACTACACTACCTTGTTTTTACCTAACCCAATGATGTGTTGAGTACACGACTTCATGCTCTGAAAACATTGTTATTTCCATTTTAGCTTTTTCATTATGTGGTCCGAGTAATTTCTTTAGTACTACATCTACTTGTCTGTTCAGCCATCTGAAAAGATCCATGTCTGAAGTCATTGTTGTGAGTTTGGCATTGTATTAGTTGAATTGTTGCAGCAGGAATAATTGATTTATGAATCTCTGATTTTTCAAATCTTCATAAACACAACATATACTCCCTCCATTCTCCTAATAGATGGCTCTATAGCCTTTGGCACAAGATCTAAGAAGAAATTAATAGGGGTAATATAAAAGGTATAGTGGGTTATGTGTAAAGGAAAAACAGGACAGAGAATGAAAAAGTAGGAAAGAGAATGAGGGTATATAGGTATATTTATTGAAAAAACTTTCTTAAAATGGAAAGAGGTCATGTATTAGAGAACATCCCAAGATGGAAAGAGAGACATGTATTAGAGAACGGAGGGAGTACTACATACGTATACAATTTTATATACTAACAGTATTAGAGATGGGAAAGGAGTCTACTATGTTATAATCTTGAGGACTGGTTGAGTCCTAATAATTAGCAAATCCCAAGCATATGGTTTCTAACGAGGATGATAAGTCTGGAAAGAATAGAAGAGTAAGCCAAGATAATTACTGCTCAATAATATTAGATATATAAGGCTGTGTGCTCTGGTTCGATCATGATTTTGGTTTAAATCTCATTAATAACTTCCTCTTACCCCACACTTCTGTAAAATCTTAAACATCTTAGTTTTCTTATGCTTGCGATTTTTCCTTGACTCAGAAATTGCTTCTGTGCACGTGGAGATTAACGAATATGAGTGCTTCAAGTGAGCTAGGTATTGTTTCTTGTTTCAAGAATACTGAGATGTTGGATGTGTTGGGGTGGGGGCATCAGACAATCTTCTGCATTATTGAATATCTGCCGCTTAAGGAAAGACATGATAGGCTAACTTAATGTTTTTGTAATCTTTGATGCATAATAAATATAGGTAAATCCAAGCATTGTCACGTTGACTGGGCTGAAGAGGCCAGAACCTGTAGAAGTTGATTGCTAATGGAGTAATGGTGTTAAAGGCTGTAATATTAATAATTATTATTGTTATAATTATTATAATCATAATTATGTTACATTAGTTATCTAACGCTCCGCCACTGGAAGAAATCAGTTACATCTTGTGCTCTGACAGAATATAGGGCATTTTTAATTCCACGAGAAATAAGATACTCCTGTGTCCTTTATACACTCTAACCGGAGGATCGCATATCGAAGATACGACTTGACTTTGGCAATCACTCAAATTCTTGTATACTCCAATAAGATCTCCCTTCCTGAATAGGCATGGCCGGTTCCAGTTCCGGGCCAAACCGGGCCGGGCCAAACCGGTCCATATTTTTTTTTTTAATTTTGGTTCTTTTATTTAATCCCCTATCCCTCCCCCTCAACCCCAAATCACCCCAAACCACCTCAAATAGCCCATAATACCTAATCCAACCCAAAAATTAAAATCCGGCCCAGACAGGGCCCGAACCAGCCGGGCTGGTTCACCTAAAGCAGGGCCCGAGCCCGGACCGCCCATCACCAGGGCCGGGCCAAACCGAACCGTTGGACCCACCGGGGCCCGGGCCGGGCCAAATAGTAACCGGGCTGGGCCGGTTCTGGGTCGGGCCGCCCGGCCCGAGTCCACCCCTATTTCGGACAACAAAGAAACTGTCTCTGTCTAGGGATGGACTCGGGCCGGGCCAACCGGCCCGGAACCGGACCGGCCCGCTACTGTGCGGGCCCGGACCGGGCCGGTCAACCGGTTCGGTTCCGGTTCGGGCCTCCAGGCCCGGCGGTATACCGGTCCGGGCCCGGGCCTCCAGTTTAGTGAACCGGCCCGGCCGGGCCCGGTTCGGGCCGGAATTTATTTATTTTTTTTTTTTGAAATTTTTTTAAGTTTTGGGTTGGATTAGGTATTTTGGGCCATTTGAGGTGGTTTGGGGTGGTTTGGGGTGGAGGGGGAGGGGTAGGGGGTTAAATAAGAGAAGAAGAAAAAAAAAAAAACATTCCGGGTGGCCCGGCCCGGCCCGGCCCGGTTCTGGCCCGGAACCGGAACCGGAACCGCCCACCATCGGTTCGGGCTCGGGCCTCCTTTTTCTGAACCGAGGCTCGGCTGGGCCCAGGCCCGAACCGGGCCCGAACCGGAACCGGTCCACCCCTATCTCTGTCTTCATTCATTATTGGAGGAGTAGCAAGAGCGGGAGCAGACTTCTTAGACCGAGTGTTCTTTCGCCGAGGCCCTTTAGATGAAATGATGAATACAACCTAAGGTGCTGTTCTGTTCGTCTTATTCTTATTACTTATTGCTTATTCTTATTTTATTCAGATCAGATCAGAAAAATTCAGATCAGATCAGATCAGAAAAATTCAGACCAGATCAGATCAGAAAGATTCAGATCAGATCAGATCAGAAAGATTCAGATCAGATCAGAAAGATTCAGATCAGATCAGACCAGATCAGAAACATTCAGATCAGATCAGAAACATTCAGATCAGATCAGATCAGAAAAGTCCAAACATGATTTATCACTTTTATTATTATATTAAATATTAATTATTATTATTATTATTATTATTATTATTATTATTATTAATATTGTTATTACTATTATGATTATTATTATATAATTATTATTAATAATAGTAATAATAATATGATAAAAAAGATATTAATAATAGTTATAATATTTTACTATAATAATAGTAATATAAATGCAATTGTTAAGAAGACTATTATTATTACAACATAATAATAATAATAATAATAATATGATTAATATTATTATAATATTATATTATAATTATATGTAATTATAATTATAATTATAATTACAATTATAATTCTTATAATTATAAGTATAATCAATTGTAATTATTATAATTATATCTATAATTAATTATATTTATAATTGTAATTAATTATAATTATAATAATTATAATTATAATTACAATCATAATTATAATTATGATTATGATTATAATTATAATATTATATTATAATAATATAATACTAATTATAATAATAATCATATTATTATTATTATATTATTGTAATAATAATATTAATATAATAATATCGTTATAATAATATTAATTGTATTTATATTACTATTATTATATTATAATATTATAATTAATGGTAATATAATTATAATTATTATAATTTATGATTATAATTATTATTTTTATTATAATTATTATTATTATTATTATTATTATTATTATTATTATTATTATTATTACTATTGTTATTATTTTACGGAGTAATTATAATAATATTGATAACTATAGTTACAATTATAGAGATAAATATTGTAATTACAATTACAATTATAATTATAATTTTATTTAAATTATATTTGTATCTGCAATTATAATAATTATAATTATATTTATAATCATAGAAATATTTGAATCAGATCAGATCAAAATGATTCAGATCAGATCAGAAGGATTTAGATCAGATCAGAAACATTCAGATCAGACCAGACCAGATCAGAAACATTCAGATCAGATCAGAAAGATTCAGATCAGATCAGATCAGAAAGATTCAGATCAGATCAGATCAGATCAGAAAGATTCAGATCAGATCAGATCAGAAAAATTCAGATCAGATCAGATCAGAACTTAAAAAATTGATCAGAAACATTCAGATCAGGCGAAGAGAACAGCTTCTAACACTAACACTTTTCAAAAACCAGTTGAAATTAACTCTTCCAACTCCAACATTATTGACACTAGCATTCCACGGATAAACTGATAAGTTGCAAAATGAACTCGCCCCTATCAGATTTGTTGTGTTTGATGATCTAGCAGCAGAACTTGCATGAAACAAGCTGTTCATTAGCCGTAACCCCCTCGGACTCCACTAATTTCTTTGCCTTGACGGATGCCGGAGGTCAATCTGCATCCAATAATTGGCAGAACCTAATTACCGAAGGCCTAATCCCGTCGGACTTGTCGCTTGTGAGAGCACATGTGTGGATGTGCAGAATCTGGTAGCAACGACAGAGGTGCTCCGGAAAAAGCAAGACAGATACAGGGAGGGCAGAAATTAAACCTCTCCGGAGAGGAGCGTTCGCTGTCAACTGCATCCGCTATACTACAATACATTTGTGTGCATTTAAATCTTATGTCAAACACTGTTCCTAACTGATCACTCCGTCTATTATGAGGCCGTTTGGCAACACTGTTTTTTGGGTTATCAGGCTTATCAACCAATTTTTTTTATTAAATACGTATTTTTTTTGGTTAGAGTTACTTTTCTGGCAGTATTGGCTGAAGTTACTATTGGCTGAAGTTACTGTAGATGACTATTTTAGCTATTTTTACATATAATTTTTTCTTTATTTTATTCATAAATATATTTTAAAAATATTTTTTCTTAAATCAGCAGAATCAATCAAAACAACCGATTTTGGTGCTACCAAACGACAGAACTCTATACATTTGTACTGTTGTAATTGTGCTGCTGTACGGTACCTGCTTCTGCTAGTATTATGGTTTATGAATCTTCTAATAATGCGATAAACTTAATAAACTTAAATTTCAATAATTTATCACTAAAAGTAGCTATTTTAATCTATCATTAATAGTTTCAACGCCATTGATAAATATATCAATAAATATATTAGTACTAGTGTTTGCCTCGCAAAAAAGTTAGTTTTTAGAATAAAATTAGTCACTCCAATTTTAAATGACCAATTTGCCACATTATGAAGATGTAGTTTTAACTTTTAAGTCACTATTTCTGCAAACCTAAGCAACTTTCTAGAAGCATATTAAACACTAAAGTTATTTAGCTTTTGAGGGCATTACAGCCACCCACTCACGGATGTAATTACCCCCGTTTGTTTTCACCTGTTTCATTTATACAGAGCACTTTACGTTTATTGATACGGAATATGTGATTAGCTGTAATCCAAAATTTGCACGTAGCCATACTTTGATCTGAGTATGAGATATAAAGGTAAATTTCATTTTTGGCTTGCTTCTTGCCGATGCCTTAGCTCATCCAAATTTGCATTTATCATTTAGTTCTCTTGTGTTAAACAAACACGTAATACACTTGCTCTAAAAAACATAATACACTTGCAATTATTTATTTTTGTATACCATACTTTAAAGGAAAAATTGAAAATAATAATCTCAACTATTGCCGATCCGCTGAAAATAATCCCAACTATTGATTATTTTTGTATAATCCCAACTATATAAACTATCCGCCAATAATGGTCCATGACCATATATTACCACTATAAAAAGTGAATTTTAAATAGAAATTAAGCGTAAAAATTAAAAGTTGAGATTATTTATAGGGATTACTTGTTATATCTCATCTCATCCACTTTAGAAACTACAAGAATTTATTCACAGGGACCATTATTGGCGGAAGGTCCCTAAAGTTGGGATTATTCTGTAATAATCAATAGTTGGGATTATTATGAGCGGACCGCCAATAGTTGGGATTGTTACTATCAATTTTTCCTACTTTAAATTATTTTTTTCCTTTCACGAACTACATAGTTGTACTAGGACCGATAGGATGTTGTTAAATTTATTACAATGTAATATAATAAATATTGTTTTATTATTTGACTAGATTTTATTAATAGCTAGTCAAATATGATATTTAATAGTTTGTCATACATAAGCTAATACACTCAAATTAAATATAATTTTATTTTAGCAAAGAGAATATTTCTTACAATGTGGTCGTAATTAATATCATTAGCGGCTACAATATTTTGGTCCCAATTTGTGCTAGTGACTGACGGGGGCGGAGCTAGAGAGGGCCAATCTAGGCTTAGGTCCACCCAATTAAAAAATGCCTTAATTTTAAGGTAGAAAATTATGTGTAATTTTTTTCAAATATACTTTTAGTACTGGCTCAGCCCGGTCTAGTGTCTTGCCTCCGCCCCATGAGCCGATTGACTTCTTTTCTGATTGTAAAAATGTCTTCTGAGGTGAGGGTAACAACAACATACACACGACCAAAGTTTGTGATCGCAAATACTCTTTAGAGCCATTCTTTAAGCACGGGTGGATTTAGGGGGCAACAAAGGCCTTAGCCTATTCCAAATTTTAAAAAAATGTCTTAATCTTAAGGTAAAAAATTCCATGTAATTTCTCCCCCAAAAAATTCTTTGTACCGGTCACATTTGTTAGTGTATTTCAAAAGTGATTCACTTTAGTTTTAGTCAAATCTTTTTCTAATATTTACGCTTTTGTCACCATATTTCACACTTAAAAATTGATCTAATGCACTTATTACTCATTTTAATGGCTAAAATTATTTCTCACTTTCATATGACGAGTACTTTATATTTAAACCTTCCTCTATGTTTATATATGTATAAAAAACGTATATAAAATATGTGTGTGTACAAATATGCATATAGTATAAAAAGTACATGTCGCCATGCATCGGGTATTAAGAAATCAATATAAAACAATTAAGAATACATTAAAGATAAAACTTGATAAAAAACAAAATAGAACAGAATTAGAATTGAAATCTACGTGGTAATTTTTTTTGTTTGATTAAAGTTAAGCTCATACTCCGTTTTAATAAACATTGAAGCTAGTACTTAAATTCGTTTGGATTAAACAAGTTGTTGCCTGAAAGCTAAGAGCATCTCCAACGGTCAGTTAGACACCTTGTAGCTTTGCTTGTCACCTCAATTTTTTCTAGCTAATCTAGTTTCCAGCAATGTGACAGTCCAATAGTTAGCTACAACCATTGCCTCTTGAATAGGCCCCACAAATCAATCAATATTAAAACATACATTTTGATAAGAGATACTAGCGCCGGAGCGCGCTTTGCGCGATATCGGTGCCCAACGATAGGAAACAAGCAAAAAAATAGGAAACAATACACGATGATTTTTATCATCGTGTATTGTATACAAAACATAGAGGGGTATCAAGCTGCCATGGATTATTAGCCTCTTCTATTGGTTAAACTCTTAACTAATACAAAAAATGTAATTGTATACATAAATCACATGAATGATAGATGATAAAATGAACATGTAAATGGCGGCTCCTTTTACTAAATAAAAGTAGAAGCTGACTTTTATCAGCGTGGATTGTATGCACAAACATAGAGGGGTATCAAGCTGCCATATGAATTAGCCTTCTCTATGAATTAAACTTTCATTTATTAAGCTGGCATGGGTAAATAGCCTCCACAGAACTTTTTTATGAAGTGAAACTAAAAACTAACTACACAAACCACTTTAATTAAGAGTAAATCGCCAAAATGGGACTAAAAGATTCGAGATTTGCAAAATAAGGACCACCGTGTTTTTTAGACCTTCGTTAGGACTAAAATATATTAGATGGACAAAATTAACCCTGAATACAAAAGGTTAACAAAACTCCCAACTGTCCCGTGAAGCACTGCAGCGAGACACCACCAACACCTGCGCAGGGTCGATGCCATGGAAGCTGTCGTAACTGCCTCTCCATCTCTTCTCCTCTCCTCTTCTTCTTTCTTCTTCTTCTTCTTTTGTCTTCTCCTTCCCATTCTCTTCAAATCTGGGTCCTCTCTTTTCTTCTTCTTTAGATTTCATTTTTTTGTTGATTAATTTTAATTAATTTGGAACCTCAAATGTCATAAACTACAAGCAAATAGAAAATGTCACTTTTATCAACATTTTTGTTTTGAAAATGTCATGAGAATGACATTATTACTCTTCTGAAAATTGCATGGAATGCCATTTTCTTTTTTAAACTTTCAACCTGACAAATAAAATGTCATAAAAGTGACATTATTAAAAATCATTTTCTCCCCCTCCAATGAGTCTATGCAGACCTCCATGAGAAATGCCACTTGATATGCGAGAATGTCACTTGATATACGAAAATGTCACAATAATGACAATTTCATATAGAAAAATAACATTCTCAATATGACATTTCCAAAATATTGTAATGACATATAAGTGACATTTTGTAAAAATACCCAATAATTTTGACATTCCTTATTCAAAAAGTGTCATTTTCTGGAATTATTAGTCAAGGCATTTTGAGATTCAAAATTGATAATAAGAAATTAGAGTTCAAATTTATCTTCATTTGAAACTTTCAAAAATCAAAATTTAAATAAAAAATTGAAATCTAAAGAGGAAGAGAACAGAGGACCCAAGATCGAAGAGGATGGGAAGGAGAAGACCAAAAAAAGAAAAGAGGAGGAGGAAGAAGGAGGAGGAGGAGGAGAGGGGGAGGAAAAAGAGTACCTGAATGCGTAGCGATTGATTGGGAACGAGAAGACAAAAAAAATAAAAGAGGAGGGGGAAGGAGGAGGAGGAGAGGGGAGGAAGAAGAGTACCTGGATGTGCAGATGACTGCGATCGAAGGGCATCTGCATCTGGCGTAGGTAGTCGGTCTCATCTTCCTAGTTGGGACGATCGATGCGGAACAGGAGGCAGAGGAGATCAGAAGAAGGAAATATTTATTCAGGGGTAGAATGGTAATAGGGAGTCCTATTTAGGAAATTTAAAACATTAAGTCCTAAGTTGGAATATTCACTATGTTTTAGTCCTAATTAGATCAATTTCTTTTTAATTAATCACACGTGGTAAAATGCAGAGGTATATCAAGCTGCCATAGTGAACACTATAAAAACTTTTTCAATTAATTTTTTTCATTAAAATTAGAAACACAAAACATTAAAAAAAGAGTCTTACATCCTATTAGCAGTGATGTAGATGCTGCCACCTAACCCACCTCCACCTTTGGTACCTCTATCGCCACCATCTGCGGCCTTTGGCACATGAAGGCTGCAGAAATAGATGTGTGTATATTTTTCTTCATAGTACTGTATGAAGAAATAGATGAAACTTCATCCCTTGAACTCTCACAATCGTCATCAATACCATCAGATGGTTCATTAACATTGGCCTGCAAGAGAAAAATAAATAAGTAAATAGTATATAAATTAAACAATAAAGCAGAGCTGTTTTATCTTTCATGAAAGAGCAAGTCTATCTAAAATGATTTCCACGAAAACAAGTCAAAACCTCCCTTCAAAGAAGAAAATTTAGTGGTAGAACTTAACTTGAACATATGTACACTTCATTTTCTTCTCCAGCAAAAGGGGCGCTTTTCTCATAAATGCATACATTATATAACAAAATTTTGCCACTCAACTGTAACAGGAACACATGTACTGAAATCACTAATTCACACATGTACTGAAATTACTAATTCATATAAAATTTAGCAAAAGAAGAAAAAAAAAATCTTTTCAGGAAGAAAAAGCTAAATGATGCAACAAGAGAATTTAAAATTGCTTACAGGTGCATGTTTGGATAAAATTCAAGGACAACAAAGTATGTCACATGGGAGATATTAGACCGCTCAAATGCTAGACGACTTTAATGACTAAAATTCAACATCGACTAATAACCGTACAATGCTCGATATACTAATACTAAAGCATTCACTCAAATAAATAACATGGGGAGAAGGTATAGATGTAAGCCATGTAGATCTCTGAGCAACATATGTTGAATCAACAAACTAATCCAAGTAGAATACCAACAATCCTTATTAGCAACCAATTCAGATACATAAACCTAGTCTTATATATCACATCTCATCTCTCCACCATCAGCGAGCTGAGAGATTGGATTTCAGTACGGAGTTTCATATTAAAAAAAATGAATATGAATGGTACATCAGAGTGGACTGAAAAGTCAGGTATGAAACCCATGGAAAATGCCTTGAAAGGTTTAAACCCCAACCCCACAAGGTTTAGGGGGAAGGGGGGAGGAATACCAACGCTAAACTGAATTTAGGACCGTAAGAATGGAAAGAAATACACATCAGCACAGTAGATGCTTGTATTCTAAACATTTGTTACATGCATAGAGGGTCTAAATCAGAAAGACAAAGGAAAATGGGTGGAACTACCTGCAAGCTTCCTCCATCTGACAAAATTAACCCAGCCGCATTCGTTTTCCTCAACTGTGGAATAACTTCAGAGATATAAAAGGCAGGAGTAGTAGTAATCCTAGGCTTAAAAGTTGGAGATCCTTTCCTTTTCTTTGCGTTCTTTAAGGTTGGTGGTAGATCCTTCACGATGATCACGTCATTTCTCAAGCTTGTTATGAACATTTCCTCATCATACAGCTATGAAAAGTTACTAAATTCTGAACTGCAAAATTTTCAATTATAAAGTAAGACTAAGAGAACAAACAAAAACAAGTTAATGTGTTCATATCTGTATCAATTATCAAAGTATCAAGTCAAAACGAACCGGATGCCTTTTGACTGAGTACCAACTTGGATCTTTGGGGTTACGAGGGTCGCATACAAAAGCCTAGCTATGGTGACTAGATCACAGATCTGAGCAAATCAGCAACATGTCACAGCCTAAAAGTTGTAGGGAATGAAAGAGTTAAAATCCCTTCTACAAGTAAATATGAGCATACCGTGGTCCTAATCTTCTCGAAAGAGCAAAAAATCTAGGCATAAACGAAGCCACTGTTTTTCTATAATGGAACTGCAAGAATGGAAAGCAAATTCTGATGAAGCAAGAGAGGGAGAGGATAAGAACTTCCAAGTATCAGAATGGAATTTTCACATATGTCAAATCTAAACATTAGAAAGAAAAACATGAAAATAGAATCTTAGCTTGTTAAGATGATAATTTAGCCCAAGTGAATGTCCTTGCGAGACCACTGCACGAATTGATGCCTAGAAGAAAGAAATTCTAATCTCTTATAATTCAATTTCCTCTCATTGACTTGTATTGGTGGACAATGTGAAAGCTTCAACTATATCAAGTACTCCATATTAATGATAAATATTATGATGAGAGATGAATGAGACATCTGAGAGGATGTGATGCATTCACAGGGCGTCAGTATCACCGTAAAAGAAAGAAAGATAAAAGTCAGCAAATCACAATGGCAAATCAAACTGATTTGGAAGACAAATAAAATCAAACAAATCTGGGAGACAAATAAATCAAACAAATCTGATAGACATGTCACTGTCAGGGATTTGAGATCCTTAGAGATTTGAGATATCATTTTCTGATTGCAATCTTTGAATTATCGTTTTCTGTTTAATTGTTTTCTTTATTTTATTTTCCAAGCTCTGTAAAGCCTATTTAAAGGCCAGTTGAATGCAGGGAAAAAGCATGCAAGTTTTTAGCAAGAAAAGTCTGAGGGAGTTTCTGGAATTCTCAACAAAAAATTCCAACTTGATAAAAGTTTGCATAATTATATTCTTCTTAGTTTTCTGCCCAAACAGTAAACATAGCCAACCCTTCCAAAGCTCCGTCTACCCTCCCACTCACCCGAAGGCCTGTGACGAGATCTTATACACAAGCTGCCCGTAACATTGGTTCCGTTGCCGGCGTCATGGGTGATGGGGTGTTTGCGTCAAAGGAAGAAGTATCCAATCTGAAAGAATCCATAGATCGCCTTGAACAACTGATGGAAAAATTACTTGCAGATGGAGGTAAAACTGCAACAACAGAAGCTGCCAATCCTGATCAGGCCGTGGTACATGCACCTGACAACATGAATCACATGGCTACTGCTCCTGGATCACATTTTGAGTTTCCCCTTTTCTCTGGCACAGAAGATCCACTCAGTTGGCTTTATCGTTGTGAGTTATTCTTCATGAATCAGAACGTTCCCCCTGCAAAACGAGTCTCTATGGCTGCTTACTATCTCACTGGAGATGCTCAGTTGTGGTACCACCATCTACGCCAAGACCAGCCCCATATCTCTTGGGAATCTTTTCGAGATTACTGCACCCACAGATTTGGCCCCCCTGGTGGTGCAAATCCATTAGGGGATTTGACAAATCTAAAACAACAAGGACGTCCAATTGAGGAGTACATCACACAGTTTCAAAACAGCCTAGCACGTGTGTAACACTTGAGATTTAATATAAATGGATTAATAGTACTACTCATACCAACAAGGTGCATCTCCTTTTAAGGGAGCTCATTAGCCAAGAACTCCAAAGTTAAGCGTGCTTGCACAGGAGTAGTCTTGGGATGGGTGACCCCCTGGGAAGTTTCTCAGGGCGCGCACGAGTGAGGACAAAGTGCGCGTAAAAGGCTAGTGGCGGTTTGTGAGGACAGTACTAGAGGTCTGGAGTAACTACCTCGGGTCCTGGGGGGCCGGGGTATTACAGGTGGTATCAGAGCAACCCTGCGATAGTGTGCTGATCCGTTGGATATCGGGCGGGCACTTAGCAGGGGAAAAAGATTCTGGGGTGTGATTGAGATTTGTTTAAGGGTGCAACGAGGACGTTGCGATCCTAAGTGGGGGTGATTGTAACACTTGAGATTTAATTAATCACATACAAAGTTCAAGTATACCTTCTTATTCATTTAAGAAAATATATTCATGATTAATTAATAAATTAATCTATTTTTCATTAATCATATAATACTTTCATAATCTATAATTAATATGGATAATCACAAATCTAGATAAGTCTATTCATATATTCGTGTACTAGATAAGTTTAGTTAGTTTCATACATGGTCCAAATATACCTTCTTGTATATTTGAGAAAAATATATTCATGATTAATTAATAAATCAATCTATTTCTTTTCATTAGCCATATTCACCATGACTAATCATGCATTTTAATACATTTACTCATTTCTCAAATCATGGTTATGATTTTATTTAGGTAATCCCACGTTTGACCCAAGAGTTACAAGACAAGTAGTCGTCCACTCACCTCGAAATGACGCTATCAAGCTTTTATCCTCTTTGTTTGAACTCCGGCGACTTTCGGAATTTTCCGGCGAAAACTCCAGCGTCTCTGATGACTTTTCCGGACACTCCTAGATTCCTTGAGAAGTCTAGAATATTTTGGTAAAAGACCTAACAAGGTTTCATAAACCAAAAATTGTATAAACATCAAAACCTTCCAAAAAGGTGTTTTCCGGCTAACCGGTCTTTCTAACCTTCCAAAGCCATTCAAGGTTAGTATCCAAACCTTTGGATGATTAAATTAATACATTAAGGTCTTATACTACACTTATAATCTTGTAGGATATCGACCTTGTTCGTTAATAGGGTTTATAAACAATTTTGGGTAATAACTAGAAACCAAATACAAATCGTTTTGAGAATCCAGATTTTTACCTCGTGTGTTTATCTGCCCTTTTTGAATTGTAAACACCTCGTATCCTTAAGTGAAGCACCTCGTCTGAAATCTCTCTTCAATACCTATCTAATGACACCTCATTCAAGCTCATTGGATAAGAGATGCGTGAGATATGAGGTGTACAATCTCGAGGTTGAAATTATACGAACTAGTTGGCAGCCTTCTTCTCTTTTCTTGCTTGCTTCCTTCTACTTGTTCTTAGTTGAGTAGAGCTGGTATAGATGATGTTTTTAAGACTCTTTTACTTCCTAATTGATGCTAGGGCCGAAATAATAGGAGCGTGGGTGAGTGAGAGGATAGTTATCTTGTCATCTTCCAAAAATAATGAAGGGGTCCATTTTTCCTTTCATGTTATGTCTCCCCCATCATTTCTTATTACTTTCCAGCCATGTAGGTCGGCTCCCCTCCCTATATTGAATGGCCTCAAGTCGTGGGATGGCCCCCACCCATGTGGGAGGTCATCCTTTATGCCCCGAACTGTATTTTCGGGAAATAATTACACAAATATGACCAAAATAAAGATGATTTGCAAAAATATGACTCATTACTAGATTAGTAATGAAATCATAGTAATTCATATTCAAGTTTTGAACTTAAGTTACCACAACACTATGTTGTAATAATGAATAGTCATATTTATGTAAATAAGTTTTATTTTAATAATATTCTTATAAAAACCCCGGTAATGCTGCTTACCAAGCACACATGCTTCACATAAAGGCACAGAACACACACAATCTTTACCAAAGTAACCAGATTTATTCATGATTTCTAGACCTTTATTACTCATGTGACCTAGCCTATTATGCCACAACACAGAGTTATGAGGACAAACAGCACTGGCAGATTCAGAGAAGGGAACAACATGGCAAACATACAGGTTACTAACTTTCAAAGCTTTGAACATAACCAAGGAATTTTTTAAAACCTTCATGCAACCATTACCCCATTTTCCCTCTAACCCATTATCCTCAAAAGCGGCAACTAAAACAGGTTATGACACAAATGTGGAACATGCCTCACATTCTTCACAGTGTACACAGTCCCATTATCAAACCTCAAACATATATTCCCCACCCCATGCACCTTGCATTTCTTACTATCAGCTAAAGACACATATTCATCATCACTTAGATCATAGGAAGAAAAAAGGGTTTTAAAAGGAGTCATAGGATAGGTACAACCAGAGTCAATAAGTCATTCATTTTCAATTAAACCACTTAGCACAGAGTTTGCAAAATCATAGATGATAAACACATCATCATGCACATCATGAGAGACCACGGAGTTGCCTTGGCCAGACTTCTTAGGGCTAGGACAATCCTTGATGAAATGGTCAGGATTTCCACAATTATAACAAACCCTCTTTTTAGATTTACCTCTCTTCTTACCAGGTTTCTGATTATGTCTATCTTGATTTTCCTTCTTGGGATTCTTACACCTACTCATAGATCTACCCGTCATAAACAAGACCTCACCAAAATCCCTGGATTGATTGCCATGCCCCTTATTATGTTTCAAATCAAGTTCTTTACTTTTCAACCCATTTACCACAATATCCAAAGTGATATCATCTCGGACATACTTGATGGCAGATTTAACATCACTATAGGAATCTGGGATGACATTAAGCAAAACAATTGGGGTATAGTCATCAATTATTTTAGGGGTGGGCGTAACGGTTTGGTTTAAGCGAACCGTACCAAACTAAACCGAAACTGGACCGTATGCAATTTGGTTTGAGTTTGGTACTATTTCTTTCAAACCGTATTAAATCAAACTGAAACTGATAAAAACCGAACAAAATCGAATCGAACTAAAGAAACTCAAAAAAACTTTCATATATTATTAAAATTGGTGGTTTGGTTTGGTTTGGTTTGGTTTGGTTTAGGTTTACTTAAGTAAACTGTTTGGTAAACATTTGCTCAAATAGAATGATTTGGTACTTTGGTTTGGTTTGGTTTAAAACGGAAAAATCGTAAACCGAACCGAACAACACACACACACACACTTTGTATTTATCTTCACTCTTCATTTTTAAGATATAAATAAATAATTTAGGCATGAAAATACATATTTAAGCATATACTCGTATCATTTTAACTTTTACACATTTCATACATTCATTATGACAAAGTTAGCTAATACGACATATTTGTATTTAGGGATAAGGCTCAAATTGGACACTATGGTTTTATCAGAATCTCATATTGGACACTAAGATTTCAAATGGACCACATTAGACACTGTGGTTTCATATGTATCTCATATTGGACACTAAAGTTTCATAATCTATAATAATACTAGTATTGAACCCGTGCGATGCACGGGATTGCACGGGATAATAATGTTTTTGTGTTGTTGTGGTTATTAGTTATTTAAATATGTTTCTGATAATGTATTAATTTGAATAAAAGTGTAAGTAACAAAATATACAAATAACCAAATTAAATCAAATACTAATTTGTTGATTTGTAAAACTAATTTGTAATTACTTCACAACCTATATTAACAATCTAATTATTCTATTTAGTTATAAAAATAAAAATTAGTTATACTTATAATTTTTGTGAACACTTTTAAAAGAGTGCACAAGGTGAACACTTTTAAAATATTTTCAATATATAACTAACCGAGCAATCAGCTAATGGAGTCAAAAGTTGATCAATTTAATTAAATTCAACTTATTCAATCAATTTTAATACCATCACACATGTTTTTGTTTCTCGATTATTTGTTTCTCCACCAAGTTATATTCAAGAGATTTCACGTTCTCATTTCTTAATTTTTATCTTCAATTCTTATTTGAAATAGGAAAAATTGATGATAATAATCCCAACTATTGGCAGTCTGCCCATAATAATCCCACGTATCGATTATTTCAGAATAATCCCAAATTTAGGGACCTTCCGCCAATAATGGTCCCTATAAATAAATTCTTGTAGTTTTAAAGTGGATGAGAAGAGATATAGCAAGTAATCCTAACTTTTAATTTTTACGCTTAATTTCTATATAAAAACCACTTGTTGTAGGAGGTAATATCTGGTCATGGACCATTATTGGCGGACGATCCATATAGTTGAGATTATACAAAAATAATCAATAGTTGAGATTATTGTCGGCAGACCGACAATAGTTGCGATTATTATATTCTATTTTTCCTTTCAAATATGGGTCAAATTTAATAAAATTATACGGAGTAAATGACAAAGGGAGTGCCAGTAATTTTTTCCTTTGCACAAAGAGAAGCCCATATATTTAATTTTGTTTTTGGCATGCACAGATAGTCCTTTGGATTTTTATTAGCACAAATTCATTACAATTAATTCTCGCCTATAAAATTTTTTAGGTTGAGGTTTTATCCAAATGTTTTCACGCCTACATACGTTTCAACGTGTAGGGGTACTCTCCAGATGCCCGCTCCTCCCCTTTCCACACAACCGCCTAAATCATACACACCTCATCACCTACACTTTCTTCATAACAGCCTTCTCACAAAAGGTATATTTTTTTTTCTAAAGGTATATTTATTCTATAAATTACATCCGTCTTGTGATGAAAAAGACCATGACAAACAGCATCTTCGGCTTGAAAGGTTATTTTGTAACTTTACTTGAGTAGAGATGCTAAACTTGGTAATCAAGACCGATTCTTCATCTTCTGCGACTTTCACTTTCATATTCGTTATCCTCATAACCATGAATCTTGACTCCTCTTCTTTCACTTTTTAGGAGACCCATTTTCACTTTCCTTTCATTTTGATATTCCATTTGTTTTCCTTTGTGGCCTGAAATCAGATCTGGAGCAAAATTCATTCGCAGATGCTCAACGCTTAAACAAAAAAAAAATTATGTAATGAGAATTGATGATACATAAAACATCATGATAGAGACATACTATGATGCTATTCTCTTGAATCAAAGTATTTAAGTAGTCCGTATTTTTTCTAAGAAAATATCTGAAATAGAACTAAAAATGTTTTAAAATTCCAAAATAAGACTGCTATGTTTTTTTTCTCAAAATAGGACTAATTACTGCCAGTTTTGGCAGTACCAGACTTCAAACATGACAGTATTTTCCAAACTTGACAGTAATTACTCCTATTTTGGGAACAAAAAACATAACATTTTCAAACTATTTTAGTCCTATTTCGGGAACTTTCCCCTTTTCTAATTGTGTTATCATCCTTGTTAATTAGTGAGCATGCAGTTGCATTTACACGCAAGTGGCAAGTACTATAGTACTCCGTATAACTAAAACCAAATTCTTTTTAACTTAATTATTCTTATAACTAATTTCAGATTTGCAGGGCTTATTCATCTTAGTCAAACATTAATCAATAAAACTCCAAGCTACAAATCCATGTTAGAGAACAGGCTGAACAGGAATAGGGTTTTTAAATTCTGAAAATCCATGTTATCTTTTAAAGGGTACTTCATCGATTCTAGATGAATAATACATAATCTAAAGTATTTTAAAACCATCCTAACAATAACTTTTAATATAGTAGAGTAGAGGGTAGCTAGAGCCGTAGAGGTTAAAATATCAATCTTTATCGTCAGGAAAGAAACTCTTCATGTTTTTCATTCTCACATTATCATTTTTAGCAAGCGATGTGAAATTCTATTGCCCAATGCATTGCTCATGCCTTGTGAACCGATGCCCTTAACCATTTCAAATGTTGCAGCTATCTAACAATTTCGATGAAATGCATCCATGTTTATACAAAATAACAATAATATAGTTAGCGTTAACAACAGTTAATAGAAATGCATGTTTACCAGATAACTTCTCTCAGTCATACACTTTTTGTTGGCTTTGTTCAAGCTTGAATCCTCACCATGTGACCGATTCAAAGACATGGTGAAGTGTATATATAGGAGATGTTGGGTAGAAGCTTACCCATCAAAACCGGATGCAATGTCACTAAATAATGCTCATTGGAAACTTCAAACGACACGAGGAAAATTACACTCATCTTTAACAGCATGATTCTTAGAGAAGCTAAAAAGCCAATCAATTGCTACAATTGTATTTAGTTGTCCAACCACATCGTATATCTCGGCAGTATTAATACTCCAAATGACATTAATTCTTCTTGCACGGTATACGAAGTAGCTTTTGAATATTGTAATTAAAGGACGATACACAATTACTCTCAAACAGACAGTGCAGTTCCCGCCCAAAAGGGCGCCTAAAGCTTTGCTGCACTATTCCGTTTTAATATATAAT